GGGGGGGGGGGGGTTATCCTCTGCATGTTTCCCACAGACAAATCCACACTTTGTCTAAGTGTGTTTACACATTTGAAACACACTTAGACACATTTACACACACATACACACCATCGCTTACATACACAGACACACACACTTACACACACGCTTACACACACTTACGCACATTTGCACACACTTACACACCATCACTTACACACACTAAGAACAAGTACACAGACACACTTACACACCATCACTTACGTACACAGACACACTTACACACCATCACTTACACACACTGACACACATTTAAACACACTTACACACATTACACACGCTTCTGTGGAGATGTGGTTCAACGAGCTGGTGTGAGTCTTCAGTTTATTTCTGTCTTGTATTTATTTTCTGTCTCTTCTTTGTCATTTTGTGTCTTTTTACGGTGCTTATTTTGTTCCCTTTTGTTCATTCATCCATGTGTGTGGGAAGCAGATGAAGAAGATTATAGGACTGTTTTGCCTCTTCATACACCGTGGAATATCGCGGTGAAAACAGATTCCTCCAGTGAGTAGCCTAACTGACATACAAACTAATGATAAGGACTGTCTTCCTTTAAATATGCAGCGTCTCCGAAGTCTGGAGGAAAACAGACTAACAGATATTCCCTGTGTGGTTGTTGGAGCTGCTGATCGATACTGATGACTCTCTGATGACTGAGCAAAGTGCTGACGGTCTTTTAAAACTCTCTGGCAGAAGTCCTGAATCCCTCTGAGACTGTTAGTGAGAGAGGTCGTCTCTGAAGGATGGAGAGATCTCAGACTCCATCACCTCCACCTTCTGCTGCGTCTTCCTTCACTGGCCTTACGTTGTGTCTCTGTGGGACTTTGTGTCTTTTGGAAATGAGTGTCTTTATAATAATAATAATACATTTTATTTATAGGCGCCTTTCATGACGCCCAAGGACAATTTGTTAAAAAAAAAGAGAAAACGCTAATAGGCAACAGAACATGATAAAAACACAAACAGGAAATCATAGAGGAGACAGTCAAGTGGACACAAATGAAACATATAATGGGGAGCACTACAGTACATTTCTGGGCTCCATTTTGACTCCACATAAACTGGAATAAACTCCAAGAGACTGACACAACGCTGCGTCAAGCTGAAGTGTTTACCTTCCAGTGGTTTGACAATCTGCAGGCGGTCGGGCAGGTAGGACCTGGATCCTCCTGAGGAGCCACACGAGTGCCGGGAGCTGCCGTTGGAGTAGTTGGTGCCGGTGGAGGTGGCCGGGCTGGAGACCAGGCTGTCGTTGGGCGTAAGGAAGCCGCTGGAGCCCTCGGCCTCCTCGCAGTCCGCTGCCAGGGCATGGAGTTTCCGCTCGCGCTCCACGTCGAAGAACGGCCGCTCAGAGGAGTGGCTCTGCTGGCGGGCCGACAGGCTGCGCAGGGCGGCCTCCAGGTCCTGACCCCCGGGGGTGCCCGGCTGGCCCAGGCGCTTCGGCCCACTCCCACTGCAGGGAATATATTGGTTTATTTGGTTAACATAATCTATGACTTTGAATGTTTGCCAACAACCAGTTTTTAGATGACCCAGACAAGAGGCTGACGTCATTTAACTGTGACCATATCGACATATTGAAGAATAAAGACAGAGTTTAAATATAGGTTAAAAATAAAAACACGATAACTCCAAAGACGACACAAAATATTACTTATTTTTTTCATTGCTTTGCGTTAATTTACAACCAAAGGACGTCGGCAAAAGAAACAAGGGGATATTTTGTCTAGACTAGATTTAATGAAATGTTTATTATAAACAGAATTTGTTTAAACTACATTTCAACAGTTTCAATTTACTAAAACTTAAAAAAATATAAAAATTGCCAAGACTTTTAGTGAACATTTAAAAGTAGCACAGTCATTACACATTCAAGGACAGTGAATTAATGTTATAAAAACATGAAATATGCATATAAAATGATTATATTTAGATCTTTAATTTTCCATTTGATGTAACACTATGCACTTAAACACACCTGTTGTCTTCTTTCTGAGCATTGTTGCAGTTTGGCTTGTCCTCCAGAGTGAGGCTGGCGTTGTCGGAGCCGTAGTAGCTGGTCCTGGGGGTGCTGGTGCAGCTGGCGTGAGCCGACAGCGGGCTGGAGCCGGGCAGCCCGGGGGAGGGGCAGCGAGACCGCAGCCTCATCGCAACCTTGTTCACCACCTTGTTCACCACCTTCACTGTTTCAAACACACGCCACGGGTGGGTCCTGAGAGGAGAAACAGGGCATGAGTGGGCATGGAAAGATCTAACACAATCTACATGATTTCATTCAGCTGCAAACCTGTTAGATAAAAGACACACTGTAATTTGTCATTGTATTTTTTCAAGCTCAGAATAAGAATAAAGGTGTATTACCTTATGGGTTTTGATAACAATAATTTTTTTTGGAGTATTGGTGCATAAATAAACACAGAAAAAAAGAAAATGGGAAAATACAAGCGAATACTGAAAAAGAAAAACACTGTCAAAATATGATGACATCCTCGACTGTGACATGTCCCAATGCTTTAATGTTCAAAAAGCTCTCTTTTCTCATAATCCGAACTCTGAGTCTTTATATGATTTGTTAAAGTTCAGCTTATTGAAAATGTATTTTCAAAGATGTCAAGAAAGTTGACAGTTTCCTAGCCACCTAAACAATCAACCCAAAAAACGTCTCATCATATTTTCATTTGAATGTTCATAAACCCTTATTGGTGCAGGGAATTACTTTGGAAGAACAGAATAACACACATTTGGAAATGTCTAATTTGAAACAACCCGAACTGTAAACTTGTGTCCATCACTAATATAAGGATGATAAAAGGACCTCATAAAAAACATAAAATGTCAGACTGACCTGTACTCTGAGGGTGCGGGGGTGTCCAGGCCTTTGCGGAAGGTGCCCTCAATCTCGGCTGCCAGAGAGTCCATGGGGAGGACGGAGGCCAGCGCGGTGTAGCGCTGCACTGTGCTGTTGGGGAGGCTCTTATTCCGCAGGTTCTTGATGTCCTCTCGGGCCTCGCAGAGCATGTCCTCACACTGAGAGTACTTGTCCCGCAGGTCCTTGAGCTGCAGACAGGGGGAGACATTTCTGTCAAACTGCAGTACAAGAAGAACATCTATTCACAGCAACAGAGCTGAAATATTTACATTCTTAATGCTTTCAGTAGGCTTCTGTAAAGATGTACATTAACAGGTCTGTGTGGGGACACGGAGAAAGGGTTTCTGTGTAAACATGTGAAGGCTTTAGGGTAGATGATGTCAAATCTAACCATTATTGTGGTGTGATCTTGTGATCTTGTTAGAACAAAGTTTATAAAAAGGTATAAACAGCACCTCAGTGTACATGCAGTCCCCCTTATTATCTCTGTCTCTTTCTAACAAATTTTAACCGTGGCTCAAAGCTTCCAGAACATTTATTACAGCACTCCTCCCAGTTTCCACAGAAAGCGGGTTGGCAATTCATTAAACCTGCTTTCTGTCAACAGCCTGTCAGTCAGCACGAGTGGCTGCTGAGTGACAAATGAGTCTGTCAGAAGCCTTTGGGCTGACATCCAACAAAGAAAAACAAACCATTAATTATTTATAGCTAGTTTTTTTTTCAATAAATTGCGGTTTGCCTCTTGCATATTCTGTACACACTGTAAAACGCCCCCTAAGACAAGTGTGATATTGGGCTATATAAATACAATTTCATTGATTGATTGATTGATTGATTGATTGATTGATTGATTGATTGATTGTCCACTTGTGTCTCATAGGTGCGCTCCGGTGCCTAAATAAATAGCTCTACACCCCTGGCCAAAATGTCCTTAAAATGAAGTCTGAGTTTAAAATATAATTCAATTAATTCCTTAACTGTCATTTTCACATATAAACATAACAGTCTGCAATGAACTGGTGTTCTCCTGTGCGTGCCACCTCCTCCTTTGCACACTGGTATCTTTCATGTGAGCAAGAGAACAACTTTTCTTTGTCCCCCTCTGTAGAAAGGAGAGGGATCCTACTCTAAATATGTTGTCAAAGTGATTATAAGTGTCTTGCCTCTGATTGAAGATTTAGCTGGCTCTCACGGGAGGCACTCAGTTGTTGGTTCAGCTCCTCATTTTCATGTGTGATCTAGAGGGACAGGAGGAAGAGAGTCAGCAGAGCTTTACAGTGGTTAGACGCCATTGATCCAGAACACAGGAGCGTCTCTCACCCCTTTGCAGCGAGCCTGCAGGTCCACGGCCTGAGCGAGCAGCGAGCTGATCTCCTCCTGCTGCCGGAAGAAGTCCTCCACTTTCCGCGCCAGCTCCTCTGACAGGTCCACCACCTGCTTATTGACGGATGCTGAAACACACAAGGCCTAATAAATACACCTGTAGCTAGTGTGTTCTTTAAAACATTGAAAGAAGGCTTGAACACTTACAGAGTTCTTCCACACACACCATCATCAGCTCCTGCTCTTGCTCCTCGTAGTTGGTCGTCTCTGTTGTGAGATCACTGGCCTGAAATAATGACATCATCAAATGATCATACTTTTCAGGCTAACGAAATGTTAAACTGTAAAAACGTTTTGTAAGTGATTATCTGTATTTATCCGTGTTTTTACAAGTTCTACATCCTTTTAATGCAGTATGCAATGTTAAATAAGATTGCATGCTGCATTTCAAGCAGTTTCTGAAAAGAGATGTTACAGTGGAGGAATATGTGTTGGGTGTATAAACTAAATGAAGCCAGTTGTTCATAAAACGATGTATATTACATTAGCATTTAAAAGTCAATGAAAAGCACCCAGTGTGTATGTTCCTGTGATCTCAGTGTCGCACACCTCTGTTCGCAGCATGCGGTTCTCGTCCTCCAGACCCTTCAGTTTCTGATGCAGGAAGTCGTAGTGGACCAAGCTGGTGAGAGAAGTGCATGACTCGTTTCTTTTTATCCTACAAGGAAAGAAACATGTGTTTGCATTAGATATCTTGACTATCAGTGTTTAATAAATATATTTGTTTCACTCAAGTATTTCATAATTAACTTAATAATTAAGCTGCTGCAATGAGAAGAAATGGACAGAGAACAATAATGAATAGAGATAATGATTAACTGATGATGGGAAAGAGTGTTTTTTTAACTTCCAATGAAAAGGTGTGGCTGTGTGTGTGTGTGTGTGTGTGTGTGTGTGTGTGTGTGTGTGTGTGCGTGTGCGTGTGCGTGTGCATGTGCATGTGCGTGTGCGTGTACCCACGGGGAACGTGATTCAGCGTTCTCGATCTCCTCGGTGCTCGCATAGAACTGAAGGAGGTCGTCTCTCATTGTCAGCTCATGGCGAAGTTGAGCAATCTTGAAATACAATATTTAATTGTTGTTAACTGTATGACACCAGATTCATAACAAAAGCGTCTGTGTGTTTCAGTGGGTATCAAACTTGTTACACATGTTATTTTTGTACCTCTTCCTTTGCTATTTCCAGCTGCTCGTCCAGCATTTCATTGCGTGCGGTTATTTCTTGGTTCTGTTTCAGCAGGGATTGACCGATCCGCGCCGCTAGCTCGAGATCCCGCTCTTTCTGCAAAGTGATGCAACATTTCATATTATTTTAGGGAACAATGCACGATGGCAAAGCAGATCTTCATTTGTTCATAATGTGGGAGATAGAAAACCAGCGTTTTGGCAAGGAGGCATAAAACTGTTATCCTCTATAATCCCGTTCATCTGCTGTGTGTCTCACCTCCTCCAGCAGGTGAGTGACCGCCTTGATGTCATGATATGTCTTGGTGACCTGGCCCACTCTGTCCGAGCACAGCACTGAGGGAGGGAGAGGGGGGAGGAGAGGGAGAGGGATTTTATGAATGGAGGAAGAGCTGTATGCACACAAAGGACACTGTAACAACAAATCCTTGCTGTCTGCATAGGCTCCAATTCAGTTTTTAGTTGTATTACGACAATAAAAAAATGATTAGCACATTCACGGATTAAAGTTTAATTTGTTTGCCACTTAAAATATTATTTAAAAACATACAGTAGGCCTACTGCTGTTTCTAACCATTTCACCAGATCACATCCCAATATGTATCTTTCTGTTCAAATTATTCTTTTTTTCCAGTCTTCAATTGAATTTCTGAAAGCACTGCTCTAATGGAATGGCCTAGGTCGATAAAGTAGATTTTTAGATGATATAATGATATAAACAAATGAATAAACACATATCCTTTTCCAATGTGTATATTTTATAAAGCACCATCCAAACAGAGCCTGCAAACAGCACATTCTGTGTGAATGAGAGCCTCGACTACATCTTGTTTCTTTGTTAAGTTTCCTCTGCTACGGACCACAACCTGTCCATGCGGTCAGCCAGATACTGATCCTCTTAGCTTGATCCCTTTTAGCCCAGATAAGAGGGCAATAAAGACCTCGTTCTCCTGGATACCGATATAGCTCATCAGGAGATGCTGCCGGTGGCTGAACTGATGAAGTGTTCGTGCCAGCAGGACACGTACAGCATGGAGGGGATAACAGAGGCTGGCTATTGGCCTGCCACTTTGTTTACATCCTGGAGAATGCTGTGTTTGGGTCCACTTCAAAGTCAATAATGGTGAAGCTCTGAAAACTTTTCATTTGCTCGTAATCTGTTTATTTCACAAAAGATTTCAGAAATAAACTATAAGCACTGCGTTATAATTTTGTGTTCCTTTTTTATACTTCTCACAATTGTAGGTTTTGTGTATTGTTTAAGACTGTGTGTAAAATGTGCCTGGACTAGTGTGCAATTCTGAATGACACAGCATGCCTCTAATCTGAAATCAGTTGTGTAACCTTACTTTGGTGGTAGGCTTAGCTCGACTAAAGATATGGGAAGTTGCCATGCCGCAAAGTAATCAGATTGAGGTGCTTGAATTTGGCCGGAGAAACCGGGATTGGGCGGCGTCTAATCAGACTAATGGAAAGAACCTTGGGCTGCACTGCACAGTATAACGTAGCTGTATCATGAATTATATACACGGAAATCATGTCCATCAGTCGGTGGTGATTAACGGGCAGGTAGAGGTCATGTTTCCATCTGTACTTAGCAGATTAAAGAGAAAAGCAAAAGCAAAAAGGTTTCACAGGTGATGGTAAGACCATTTTAACTCATTAAACTAATCCCTAGGCTTTGCCAGACAAATGTCAGGAAGGATACATGGGATACACTAATGCAGAAGTATAGTCTGGGACACCAATATCTTAAAACTGACCATGTCATTAATGTAATTTACTTCAACACTGAATGTGAAATAGAAAGACGAATCCTGGACCACCTAAACTGCCTCCCAGATGAAGGACTTTTACAGTATATTGTCATTCCCAACTTATTCAATTAAATCATAAAATAAAAGATCTTGCCAAATATGATAGTCACATTTACTCTTACACTCTAAAATCTTTCTTAATATTTGAGCCAAGAAGGATGAGAAATCCCTGATGTTCTCAGAAAAAAAGGATATTTGAACGTTTCTAATTATATAACAAATCAACTGCCAACAAGGATCTTGTCATCTACTTAAAGGCAATAAGTGTTTGTTTAGCAGTATTTTCTCAACAACTGCTATTCCGTCAACTTGGCTGGTGTTTTAGCTGAAACCCTAATAAGTGCAGTTTTGAGCGTGAGCTCTTGAGGTGGTCTGAAAATATGTATTAGCATAGTTGTACGTACACACTGACATGTATTGAGAGTGGCCCCCTATATGAACTGTTAGAGCAGCAAACAACATGACAGCTACAGCTGTCTCCTTCGAGATCTAGAGGCCTTTTTTTGTTAGTCATTTTTCTTGACAGCTGTTCATCTGATGTGCTTCACATTGGGTGGGTTGATTGATCACGACCAAAAGAAAAAGGTAGTGTTGAGAGGGAAGGTGTTGCAATGAGCGGCAATCAAGAAAACTGAAGCAGCATTGGTCGAGGCCATGTAATTGGTCCGTTTTTAATGGGCGTTGGACTTAACAAGATACTCGACAACAACTACCATATCGTCTTGATGTTAACTGTTTGGTCAAGAATAATGGGGCCGGGGGATTGGCTGTCTCTGGGCCCTGGTTCTAGGGGCATCTGTTGGGGATGGTACTGGGATGGTCCCAATGAGTGTGTCTGGTGGGCTTTGGGAGGAAGGGGGGGGGTGTTCTCTGCCTCTTTTGTTTTTGACTGATTCATATTCAAAGTCTGAGTGCACTGCAACATCATGTTAGCAAATACAATACTTGTACATTATCCTGTTCGTATTTTTAATTTTTAGGCTTTAATGACCATCTATTGTTGGTATTTTGCCCTACTTTTTCGTGTCCATTATGAACGTTTAACGACAGAAGTAAGAATTGATGTCTGATGCTGTTTGTATTGATTATATTGTATATTTTGTTGTGGAAAATCTCAAAAAACAGATTGTTTAAAAAATGTGTATGTAGGGATTTATAGCTTGACTCTAAATTAATTAAATCATAGATATATATATATATATAAATAAATAAATAAATAAAAGGTACAATAGAAGTACAGTTCTCACATAATCCTAATCAACAACAGTGTAAACATGTCTATTTCTGATCATTACCATTGACTAAATGACTTTGAAACAGACAATTAATAAACAAGAATAACTACAGCCTAAATAACACGTAACTGGTTGTGTGATTGCCAAAATACATTACATAAATGAACTATGATTAATCAGATAATAGACTACTTCTTCAAATCCTCTTGTACTTAAAGTGGATTGAAGCAGCAGCTGGACGGTCAGCGGGACACACACACACACACACACACACACACACACACACACACACACACACACACACACACACACACACACACACACACACACACACACCAAGATCCAGTTCACTACTAAGTCATTCAAATCTTGAGAAAATGCAGTTTAGTCATATGCTGTACAATTCGTATTTTATTATTTCAAGTTTGTCAAAATAGTTTATTGAATGGCTTATTTGCACTTATTTGAACTGTACATCCACAAAGACTCAACTTAGTAAATAACTGTATATCTATTTCCTTTTGACCCGACTGCGCTGGAGAGCATAGAGCAAATCAAGGAAATGGATGCTGCTTTGCCAGCTAGAGGTTTTAGGGTTTGAGTTAAGCTAAATCCAGGCAGCTACCCTGAACTGCAGGCCTAATAGTGTACATAGTGGATGAACTCTGCTGAGCTATGTATACTTATGACGTCTGTTATGTCGTGGGGATCAGACAGGCAAAGAGCTTTAAGAACAAGATTCACATTGATCCCATATTAATCCCTACTGTTGTGAAAGGGCAAACTTGAACAAAACTGGCAGGAGCTAACATTTAACTCACAGCCTTCTAGTTTAATCGGTAAAGATTTAAGTATAATTTAAGAGAGAACAGTCTACAGATGTCATAATGGTAACATTAATCTCACTATAAAAAATGAGGAGTTTTGTGTCCGATCTATTACAATTAGGTTTCAAATTAAAGCTGGATTTGAGCAAAAACGTCATATAAACACACAACAAAGCACTCGGAAACAATGTGTCCAACAGAAACAAGTGAAGTATATGTGCACTAAAAACACAGCTCCAGCAAACATGTAGAGTCTCTGTGTTGGAATTCAACAGACACTGGAACCATACTGTACATGTAGAGATTGAGATTCAAGAAAAATGGGGTGAGCTGTATATCCAATTTAAAGTCTCATTGCACAACAGAGGTCACACATTGGTTTGTTTGGGTGTCCTGTATGTCTGGATTGGTGCCCGTGTCGCAGTGTTCGGGTGCCAACCACGTGCCCATTTAGAAAAAGAACGCCTGGTAAAGAGGAGCGATAGAGGAGGCTTTTCACAAATGTATGACATGCATCAAAAGTCTAACATTACTTAACATGAAAAGCAAACATAACTGACAATACTGGAGTGAAACAAGAGAAGCAGAATAGATAATGTACTGACACTCTTTGTTCTTCAGAATAGGGTTTGGGAACATTTAACAGTGGTGCATTCAAGAACAATCAGGTAATTCAATCATTTTCATTTGTCCAATTTGATCCTCGTTTCTCAGAATTTCCAAAATTAAGATCTCAGGTTCAAACCTTGTCAGAGAAACTGGAAGCATTCAAATACTATTCCCTAGTTCTATGGCTTTGACCTCCATATACTAAAAACAAAGAAAAACACAAAATGTTCAATGCTGCCAATGACAACTGCTGACATGTACACAGAGATGATTGTGCTGCTGCTGCTGCAGCGTGCACACACACACACACACACACACACACACACACACACACGATCAGTGACCTTCACCCCACTGAATGTATTTACAAAACTTTACCCGTCTCAGGGCACTTTCATGTTAAACTAAAAGGAGTGTTGTGAAAAGAGCTGCAGAAAACGCCTTTTGTCGGATGTTAATCATGACTTGTATGTTGCACCTTCAATGACATCACTGCAGAACATCCAGTGCACTATAAAGTATAGAGCACTTAGATAACACAGATCTTGACAATGCAATGTAGGACAGAAAAACACCAGACAGCAGCATTTTACCTGCAGATTAGAATGATTATGAACCATGACTCTTTACATAGTATTTTATGTAACTTCCTCTCTAAGCATGTAAGTCTCTTGTGCATGCCAGCTGCTTTTCCCTGTCGTCTGCATCATCACGCACCACCAACTAATCTCACCTTGTGTCACCTCCCGGCAAAGGATGTCCTTGTTGTTATTATTATTGTTATTGCTGTTAAGACATGTCTTGTCCATGTCCACTACTTCATTCACAAGACTAGAAATGCTCTTGTCTTCTTCCTCCACCTCGGATGCAGAGGAGCTCCAAACCTCCATGGTGACCGGAGAAAAAGTGTCCTCGGCCTCTCCGTCCATCGGTTAAATAAATCCCTTCTTCTTCAGATAAATTACTGTGAATATCCTGCGCTGTCACACACCAGCTGTGTCTGCGGCATGATTCTGCTTGCCTGTGTGTTTTGGTACAAACCAGCCTACGTGAGGGAGTGTGTGTGTGTACCTGTGTGTTCCTGTGTGTGTGAGAGAATCAGAGCTGCTGCATGTTAATATTTAATCCCTCAGACTGTACCGGCCATCTGTCGTCATGACTGCCTTCGTTCACCTGGCCACGTTGGACTACCGGGTAAGAAAAGAGGGGAGGAAGAGGAGGGGGGTTGAAGGAGGAAGACAAATCTCAACCCCAAGCCATAAAAGCCGATATTGATCACCAGGGTCATTGAGATAAGTATAGTCAGCTGTATTTGAAAAACTAATTCAGGATATGGATGCTGATGGAGTTTGAAAGGATGCTGCATTAAGCCCACCCACCCCTGAGGATCTGAGGCAGATGGTAGGTTCCGCCCGGGCCAATGGCTGCTCTTGTTCTGAGCACATACGTAATAGCAGGCACAGAGCAGGGCTCTGCTGGTGATGCTGCTGCAGACAGAGCCACACCCACTGTACAGGGGGCTGATGGGAGAAACAGAGGGTATACAGTGAGTCTGGGATTTTACGGGTTTTGTCTGGGATCATTAATTAATCATCTTGCTATTCATATGTTTTTCTTTCTACACTAAAATTCAATAAGTGTTTTAGTCAAATATGATATGGAATTTATTATATTATATATATAAAAATATAAATAAACCATATTTGTCATTCTGAGCAATGGAGACTTGCTTTCTGTGTAAGTATTCTTCCTAGATTATGAGCGGACCGCAAAGATTGTTTTTCATCTCGATTCAGTTTTATCTAAATACGTCTGCTTTAACTTTACAGTGAACTATATTCTGCTGCAATGATCCAAAGCCCTTGCCCACACCACTGTCCTATATATACGGGTTTGTCTCCGTCCGTCCGTGACCTAGACACAAGCGTTTCTCTGACAATCAAATATTAATGCCTTCATACATTTTTCACCCAAAACAGATTATTTTCAGGTCGAGTGCATTTCCCATCCCTACGCTTGCTCTCTTCGAGCATTTATCCTTTGCAGAATAAAATCTTCGAGAGCAGCATGTGTATGGTTAAAGAGGTGACTTCAAATTCCATTCCAAGAATGTTTTGACTACTTCCAAGTTAAAAAGCCATTGCTCTAACAACACCACTAAAAATGCTGCAAGATAACAACTCTAGGTAATAAAGAAGTAAAGTCTCAAGTACTTTGCCCACAATAACAAGGAAAGATGTGACAATGAGGCCCCTCCCAGGAATAAAATCAGCAATCTGCTCTGATTCAACTTTCTCCAGCCCTTATATTAACTATTAACTATTGAACTAGTTACCTCGGGAAACTTGTTACAAAAAACAAGCATAGAAGTACAGTTTAAATAAAGTCTTGATAAAAGCAGCTCAGCCCACTTCTGTTACTCAGTGTGACGATAAGGACCTGAAAACTGATCGCTGATATCCCTGGTCAATGTTTGTCTGAGGAAACACCCTGGAAGGTCTTTAGCATTTATTTGATCCACAGTGAAATACAGCCCTGCACAACAATCATATAAACAGTTATCAATTATTATAGATCAGACACGCTCTACCCACAGTCTTCCAAGTAAATCTTTAATTTAATCAAACAAGTTAGATCCCTCTGCTCCACTGCATCTCTCACTCAATGTGTGGGTATTTCCCCTGCCCTCATTGTTGTGGTTAGAGGCTTACCATGACGCATGATTAATGAGATGTAGGTGTGACCCTAAACTTTAGCAAAAATGCTTCCATGGAATACTACTTCGCTTCACATCTAATGATATTAGGCAAGGCAAGGCAAGGCAAGGCAAGGCAAGGCAAGGCAAGGCAAGGCAAGGCAAGTTTATTTATATAGCACCTTTCAACACAAGGAAATTCAAAGTGCTTTACAAAAAAAGAAAGACATTAAGAAAATGGCATTTCAAATCAGTCATTAAAAAGCAAAGATAATAAAATAAACATTAAAAGAAAAAGAAAAAATACATGGATAAAAGTTACAGTGCAGTTTAAGGTGTGAATAGTTCAATTAAAAGCAGCGGCAAAAAGAAAAGTCTTTAGTCTGGATTTAAAAGTCAGAGTTGCAGCGGACCTGCAGGTTTCTGGGAGTTTGTTCCAGATATTTGGAGCATAATAACTGAACGCTGCTTCTCCATGTTTAGTTCTGACTCTGGGGACAGAAAGCTGACCAGTCCCTGAAGACCTGAGAGATCTGGATGGTTCATAATTTAGCAGGAGGTCAGAAATGTATTTTGGGCCTAAACCATTCAAAGCTTTATAAACCAGCAGCAGTATTTTGAAATCTATTCTTTGACATACAGGAAGCCAGTGTAAAGACTTCAGAACAGGAGTGATGTGATCCACTTTCTTATGGCGCATTTCCACTACACGGCCTCGCTCGGTATGGCTAGGTCTCGTTAGGACTGGCTCACTTTATGGCGCATTTCCATTACAGTTTAGGAACTGGGGTAGTATCTATAGTAACGCAGTGTAGGCGGAGCCGTGACGTCATCTTCAATGAGAGCCCCAGAAAAACAACACAGCCGTTAGCTGTTAGCACTCAGAGCTCACGGCTCCTCATATCTGTTCAGAAACTAGACAAAAGTTAAACAAGTACAAACCACAGACTGTCTGTGTCATGGCGAATACAGTCGCTGGTTTATTTATGTCTGTATAGGCCGTTGTTGTGAGTGTGGACGGTCGGAAC